TATTGGTCTTTGGAGGAAGATCTTGTTATTCTATATGCCTTGCCAATTACCATTGACACATTTTGTATTATGGGTAATGGATTTCTTTAAGAGAAATTGGAGTATTGGTCCCTGAACAGTAACCGAATTTAAGTTTTAGTCTTTGAATTTAAAATCAATTTGCATTTGAAAAAAAAATATAGAGCATTAGTTCCTATGCTAACTTTGAGAATTTCCATCAAAATTAAGCACTTGAAAAGCAGGTAATCCCCCTTTTAGGAAACAAACTGGAGAAAGAACGTGCTTATCACGTGCTTAAATTTAGCGGAAATCTCACAAGATTGATATCAAAATCTTAATTAAATACACCCTCTTAATTTATGAATCCAAAGAAACAGGGACAAAAAAAGAAATTATTGGCCCAATGAAAAAGCCCATTAAAGAGCCTTCAAAGTTCAAAATCCAAAAAGAAATCTCCATTTTTCTTTTGGGTTTTAATTACAAAGAGGGTTTTAGAAGGGTTTTACGATCAAATTAAGAGCAACAAAAAAATAGGGATTTAGGTTTTTGAAGGGTCAATCAAAATCCCTGACTCCTCTTCCTCTGCGCTCTGCCGTGACTACACCTCTCCTCCACCTCCAGGCGGTGGCTACTCTGGACTGCTGCTAACTCCTTCCTCATGTAAGTGTGTTTCTTTTTCCTTTTGTTCTTGAATTTCAGGGTTTAGCGATTTGTGGAATTGGGGAAATTAGGGACTGGAATTTTGAACCTGAATCACTGAATTCAGTAGTCTTCCTCTCTCTAGCTGCCTCAAAGTCGGAAAATTGACAAAATTAAATGATGAATTATATTGAAAGTAACAAATAAATAACAGGTTGACCGAATTTTATGAGGTTTGAAGGAACGATTATTGAATTCGAGTTAAAAAAATTTCAAGTATGTTGTTTTTCTTGAGAATGCGTGTTGGATGAGTCGAATTTAGGTGTTGTGTAGCTCTCATTCGTGACGTTCCAATTTGTATATTTGGATTCTATCCCCTCATTGCAATAGTTGTAGGCTATGTTTGGGTGAGGGATTTCCAAGTCCCAAGGGATGGATGCCAAGTTTGTAATAAAATGTTAGACAGGAGCGATTAGAAATGCAACATATATTGACTTCTACGTACGGATTTGCAAATCATTCTCACAGCCTTTGTAATACATCTACAATTTTTTTTTGTCATCAACAGGTGTGAACTTGGGGGAATGTCGTAGAAACAAAGGAGACTCTGTTGAAAGTTTGACAAACTCCTTCTGCTAATGAATTTGGATTTGAAGTTCAGCCCTTTGCAGTTTTAATACCTGGGTCCTTGACTGGTTACAGGCTCTGAAAAGTTGAAAATGGCAAGACGTGTCTATCTCCTTCCCAAATCCGTATTGAATGCCATCAACAAACCTCAAAATCCAATCTCAGTCCCTCTATCTTTCAATCTCTGCACAGACTCTGCTGGCAACCAAGCTCATCAACCACAGATTGAAGGCCCAACAGAGAACCACAACCCCACCAACATCCATGACCAACAACGCCATGAGCAAGTCCGAAAACTCCGAGTCCTTCTCCAGCAGGGTCGCTCTGAAACAGCACGGAGGCTCATCAAGTCTCTCATTCTCCCCGGTTCACCCTTCTCTTCCCCCACTGAACTCTACACCCTGTTTTCTCTCTCTGCACCCTCCATGAAACCCACATTCTGCGACATGCTTTTAGCAGCTTGTTCAGAGTCTAAGATGCCAAATGAAGCTGTAGAATTGTACAGTTTGATGAGGAAAAGTGGTAAACGCCCTTGCTTAGCTTCTGTCAATGTGATGCTTGAATCTTTGGTGACTTCAAAACAGTTTGGTAAGACCCTTGAATTGTTTTCGGAGATTTTCGAGTTGGGTCAGGGCATTCGACCTGATAAGTTCACTTATGGGAAGGCAATACAAGCTTCTGTAAAGTTAGGGGACCTGGAAAGGGCTGGTCAACTAGTGAATTCAATGAAGATGAAGCAGATGAATCCAGGTGTGTTTGTGTATAATGTTTTACTCGGTGGGTTGTGTAAAGAGAAGAAAGCAATGGACGCACAGAAGGTGTTTGATGAAATGATTGAGGGAAAGGTGACCCCGAATTTGGTTACATACAATACGATGATTGATGGGTATTCTAAGGCAGGGTGAGTTGGAGAAGGCCTTTGAATTGAGAGAGAGGATGAAGGATGAGAATGTGGAAGCTAATATGGTCACATATAATACAATGCTCAGTGGACTTTGTCGGGCGAAGAGAATGGAGGACGCAAAAAGGATTTTGGAAGAGATGGATGCTCACAGCTTTGTACCTGATGGTTTTACTTATAGCATACTCTTTGATGGGCATTTCAGGTGTGGGGATGGTGAGGGGTCACTGGCTTTATTTGAAGAAGCAATGAGGAAAGGTGTGAGGATTAATGGTTATACTTGTAGCATTTTGTTGAATGGCTTGTGCAAGGAAGGAAACATTGAGAAGGCAGAGAAGGTTTTGAAGAAACTAATGGAAACTGGTTTTATTCCAGATGTAGTAGTATATAATACTATTGTCAGTGGTTATTGTCAAAGGGGTGAGATAGACAAAGCCATTTTGGCCATTGAACAAATGGAAGTACGCGGGTTGAAGCCGAACTGCATCACCTTCAATTCTTTGATTGACAAGATCCGTGAGACAAAGGATATGGATATGGCTGAGGAATGGGTGAAGAACATGGCAAAGAAGGGAGTTTGTCCAAATTTGGAGACGTATAACATCCTTATTAATGGCTACGGGCAGATGTGTGCATTTGATAAGTGTTTCCAGATTGTTGAAGAGATGGAAAATAAGGGGATTAAGCCAAATATTGTGAGCTATGGTTCTCTTGTAAATGGTTTATGCAAGGACGGGAGGCTTCTTGAAGCTGAAATAGTACTGAGGGACATGCTAAGCAGAGGGGTTTTGCCAAATGCACAAATATATAATATGCTCATTGGTGGTTGCTGTACGGTGGGGAATCTGAAAGATGCTTACAGATTCCTTGATGAGATGGCGAAAACTGGGATAAGTCCAACACTTGTAACCTACAATGCACTCATTCATGGACTCTGCAAGAAAGGACGGTTGATGGAAGCTGAAGACTATGTATCTCAAATTACAAGTAGCGGTTATAGCCCGAATGTGATCTCATACAACTCCCTAATTTCAGGTTATTCTGATGCTGGAAACACCCAGAAATGTCTGGAATTGTTTGAAACTATCAAGAGTCTGGGCATGAAACCTACTTTGCATACATATCATCCTCTAATTAGTGGGTGTATCAGGGAAGATATGGCATTAGCAGAGAAGCTATATAGTGAAATGCTACAGATGGGCTTGGTTCCTGACCGGGTTGTATATAATGCACTCATTCATGGTTACGCAGAGCACGGAGACACTCAAAAGGGACTTGCTTTGCACTCTGAGATGGTAAACCAGAATGTTTATGTTGACAGGATGACATATAATAGCTTGATTCTGGGGCACTTCAAGCAAGGACAAATTTCAGAGGTAAAGGACCTAGTAAATGATATGAAGGCTCAAGGATTGACTCCTAAAGCTGATACGTATAGCTTACTTGTTAAGGGACACTGTGGACTGAAGGACTTCAGTGGTGCCTATTGTTGGTACAGAGAACTGTTTGAGAATGGTTTTCTTCTAAATGCCTCGACGTGCCATGAACTTACATCTGGCCTTCAAAAGGAGGGGAGGTTGCGAGAGGCCGAGATTGTCTGTTCAGAAATGAGCGCCAAAGGAATGAATAACTGCAGCTCTAATGAGGATGTGTTTTCTGTTGCCAATGTCCAGGGAACAGATGTTTGCCGTCCTTGAAGTTCTCCGTGCAAGAATTGGCCAAGATACAAGTATATTGCAAAACTAGTAGCCAAGTAAGTATCCCATGGCATATTTCTCTGCTGGCAGCCTGGCATATCCTTGAAGAAGAGCACAGTAAACTCCAAAAAGGAGTTGGTCAGATAAGTTCAGAAGTAATCCGGCAAACATTGGCCGGTGGAAGCGAGCAAGGAACTTTTCGTTGTTTCGTGGACTTGGGAGAGTGTTATCTATGTGAATAAGCTTCAAGCATCCCATATCTTCTCCATAAAAACCCTAAAATGTATGGTGTCCGTATAAGTTTATGGTGAATTTTAGTGATGTATATCTTGTTTATCCTATTCGTCTTCAATGTGAATATGCTTTTGGATTGGGGTTCTGAAAAGTTGCAAATCTTCAAAGCTGTTTCAAAGCTCTTCTTTTTACTGGAAAATGGAATATATGTTGTCGAACGTTGATGCATCTAATTTGAGCATGGTTTTCTCCTAACCGTCTCCGCGTGCAATGAACTTGCATATGGCCTTCAAGAGGAAGTGAGGTTACGTCTTACCAGAGCTCGGGATCATCTGCTCAGAAATGACGGTCAACGGAATGGATGTTCGCAACTCTAGTGGGGATGTGTTTTCCGTTGCCAAGACGTAGGGATCGGATGTTTAGTGTTCGTGAAGTTCACAGCGCGAGAACTGGCCAAGATCGATAGCCATATAGAAATGTTGCTAAACCAGTAGCCCGGCAACGAACCTTCATTTCTCTTCAAGTTTTATGCTCTCCGGGAGGGAAAGCAATACATCGGGCTGAAGACGGTTTTTCAAGGGCCATTGCATTGGAAGTGTTCTCTCTGGATCATTAGAAGTTCCTGGCTGCAAGGACATGAAATTTTGATGGTTTGCTTTCATTTCTGCCATGTTTGTGACTGCTTCTGCAAGGGCAAAAACCGCTATATGATAGCCAAAGCGCTTCTGCTTGCGTTTTGTAGAAAAACTTAAAAGGTGATTTTGACTCATGGACGCGCTTCTAGCATAAGTGCTTTCTGGAAATGCAATTCCAAACAGGCCATGATACTAAATATTACCATGCCAAAACACAAACAATTCATCACGAAAATTCGAAAACCAGAACTTTCTACAACCATCAAATCAGAAAGAAAAAAAACCCAACTGATTTTATTAGATTAGAGGGGTGGAAAATCGAACTCAGTACCTCGGTTGCAAAGCTACTCTTAACCATATGAGCTACAAGCTCGCAACAAAGTATTCTACTCATAAATTAAAAACAAAAAACCATAACCTTACGAAGCAAACCACCACCGTCAGCACCGCCGCGAGAGGCAAATTCAGAGCACTTTGAGAATGTCCTCAGCTCCACTGGAAGTAAAGGCACCGCCTTCCTCCAAATTCAAGACCTTAACAACGCCATCCTCCGCCAAAAGCGAGTACCTTCTGGACCTGACGCCCAGCCCCACCGGCTTATCGCTCAAATCGAGCTCCGCCCCAATCGCCCTCGTGAAATCGCCGTTCCCATCGGACAGCAGCAGCACCTCGTCGCCGATGTTGAGATTCTCCTTCCACGCCTTGATCACGAAGACGTCGTTGACCGCAATGCAGGCGATGGTCTCGACGCCCTTCGCCTTGAGCTCCCCCGACTTCTCCACGAATCCCGGGACGTGCTTCTGGGAGCAGGTCGGGGTGAAGGCGCCGGGGACGGCAAAGAGGACGGCCTTCTTGGATTTGGTGAGCTCGGAGACAGTCACGGTTTGGACGTCGCCGGCGGCGTCGAGGTACGCGAGGGTGGCTTCGGGGAGCTTGTCGCCGACTGCGATGGTGGCGGATATAGGTTTGGCAGCGGTGGTGGAGAAGCGGAGGAGGGGTTTTGGGTGTGGGGAGTGTTTGAGGGGGAGAGGGGTGTAGGAGCTTTTCGAGGAGAAGGATTTGGGTGAGAAGAGAGACGTTTTGGGTGGTACGGCGGCGGTGGTGGTGGAGAAAGAGAGGGACTTGGGGGCGGTCAGGAGCCTTGAGACTGTGAGGGAGGCTGCCATTTTTGGTGGTTTGAGTTTTAGAGAGAGAGAGAGTGAGAGTGAGAGTGAGAGAGGAGAGAGAGACCGGTATGCTTTGGCATGCAGGGTTTGCTGGGTACGCTGGGTTTGTTGGGTTTAAGGGTTTTTAGCGGAGGGAACAATGAGAGGTGGTTGTGAAGAGGGTCGGATAGATAGAGGATTTATTGGACCTTCTGTTGTGTGAGCATATGAGTTTCCATATACCTCCAACTTTGCCACCATAAAAATTATCAACCTATATATGACATGTTCTTGATTACGTTCACTCGGATATGTCCTTCTCTCCACAAAGAAACTTGATAATTAGAACAGCTAAAGTAGAATATCGTTGTATTAAAAAAATTATATAATTTAGTAAAAAAATTATATAAAAATTTGAATTCTATTCCTCCTCAGTAAAATTCATTTCAGTTTAAAGGATATCGCCCTATTACATATTAATAAACATGTCATAAAGTAGTTGAGTTCTATAACTTGTCTTTATGGTTAGTTTTGAATGTACTTTTAAAATGACTGAAAATACTTTTGATGAGAGTGCTTTTGAAACCAATCCTTAGTAAAATGCAATTGAATTTTGAAAAATACTTAAAGTGTTTCCTATAAGAAGCACAAGCACTTCAAAAATTATTACACTAAAGCCATAAATTAGAACTCAACTGTTTAATCTTGATGTAGTCTAACGAATGGTGATTTATAGCGCTAAAATAGAAAATAGTAAGTTGATAGGCTTTAACCATATTTCTGTGTTTAACTTCACAAAATGAGGGCAAAATGAGGGTCTTAGTGTAATGAAAATATTACTTCTTGATGTTATAAAGGTCACGAATTCAAATTGTGAAAACAATGTTTTAAAAAATCAGAGTAAAACAGCGTAGAATATGTGACATCTCACATCGCCCAGGGGAGTGATCCTTAAATGTATATTCCCATCTCTACCTAGCACGAGGCCTTTTGGGAGCTCACTGGCTTCGGGTTCCATAGGAACTCCGAAGTTAAGCGGGTAGCGCACGAGGTCACTCCCAGGATGGGTGACCCATCGGGAAGTTCTCGTGTGAGTTCCCAGAAACAAAACCGTGAGGGCGTGGTCGGGGCCCAAAGCGGACAATATCGTGCTACGGTGGTGGAGTGGGCCCGGGAAGTGGTCCCCCCAGGCCGGGATGTGACAGAATAGATGTTTTCTCTACCTTTGAAAAATAAAAAGCCTCGTTTGAATATATTTTTAAAATGACTGAAAGCGTTTTTGAAGAAAATGTTTTCTACAATAAACACCAATTATGTGCTTCTTCCAAAAAGTACTTCAACTACTTTTGAGAATTCACTTGTATTTTTACTAAGGATTGATTTCACAAAATATTTTTACCAAAAATACTTTTAGTTATTTTAAAAATACATACAAACGAGTCATTTATTCACCTTTTATCAATAAAAACTTTCAAATTATGGTAGTCAAATGAAGAATTTGTCATATAGTATCGAGCCACACGTGGTAGCCTAGTAGGTTTATGTCGGCATGTGTCATGTGAGATCACGTGTTGTTCTTGACACCTAATGAGAGATTTTTCAGTGTGATCGGTACACGGGATGTTACATCACGTGTCATTATACAAATAGTGAGATATGTGTGTAAAAAAGTTAATAACTTAAAAAATAAAAATTTCTACTATTTACATAAAAACACGTAGTGTACCACCCATGTTCCGTCACAATGAAAATTTCCTGTTGTTGATATGCTTGCAAGAGTTGCGAATCTACCGAACTTAAGAGCAGTTCTACCCCTAAAGACTTTGCGCCAGCACCCAGCGCATTTATTCACTCAAGTGAATAATAATAGACCTCAGTGAACAGTAATAGGCCAAAGCATCTCCATCCCTAAAAAAATGGGTTGGCACCCAGTCTAAAAATGCGATGGCACAAACGATCTCCACCCTTACAAAATGCGTTGGCACCCAGCCCATTTAAAATATTTTATATTTTTTTTAAAAGAATAAATAAAAAAATAGTTTTATTTTCAGATAAGATATTTAACCAATTTCGGATAAATTTTCAAATAAACTTAAAAAAAACACACTAAAATAAAATTACATACTCATCAAATAAACTTAAACAAAAACACACTAAAATAAAATTACATAAACTCATCAAATAAACTGAAAAAAAAAAACACACTAAAATAAAATTACATAAACTCATCAAACACACTTTATTCTTCTTGTTGTGCCAACAATCTTTTCTATTGCTCCACAAATTGTTTATGCACTCTCCTTGAAGAAGACATTGTAAAAAAAACTCAAGATTTGAAAACGATGAAGATGGATTAGGGATGTATGGTTTATTTGGACAAAAAAAAAAAATTAAGGATGAGCTTTTTGGTATTTTTTTCACACAAAAAGTATATGAAAGCTTTGGTAGAAAGTGTAGAAAATATTGAAATGTGATGTAAGGTGGAAGATGAGGGTTAGGTATTTATAGAAAAAAAAAAACAAAATTTTTAAAAATTTTATGTATTTTTTAAATAATTTTTCTGTATTTTTTCATAATTTTTAATAAATTTTAATATAGTTAATTAATATGTACCGTTGGATTTGAAAAATATTCAAATCCAAGAGCCAAGGCGCTGCCACGTGGCCAGTGGCCATAATTCTAACCGTTGTGCCTTTTTTTATTTTTATTTTTGATGAAAAAAAACATGGACCGTTGATATGTGATCGGACGGTCCATTTTAAAAGTCAAATTTAAATTTTTTTTACAGTTGGAAATCCAACGGTCTACAAAAACTAGCCGTTGGAAATCCAACGGCATTGAGAGGGCCACGTCGCCTCCTTCCGGGTGAAGCACAAGTGGGCTGATAGCGGGCCCCGCCGCCTGCACCCTTGTCCTCTACTTGCACCCACTTGCAAATAAGCTACACGCGCCAAGCAAATAGGCCGGCTCCTTGGTCAGTCAATTTTGGGCTGGCCCAGAGACCAGCTTGGGCTGGGTGCCAGGCAAGTTGCTAGGCTGGAGTGAATGGATAGGGTGCCAGCCTGTAACACTCAACTACAATTTGAAGCTTCAACTAGCTTTTGATTTAGGATTTGTCATTCAATATATGTTACTTTTGAGTTTGATATTGAGGATTTGTTTGAGATTGCTTGTGGAATGACTAAAGGCGACGTATGATAATCAAAAGCGTTTGTAACTGCGTTTGACTTAAAAAGGTGAAAAGTGTTTTTTGATCATATAACTGCTTTCTAGAGAATTGAATCTCAGATGCTTCTTCAATAAGTACTTTCAAGTGTTTCGCTTGGGTTTTTAATAGAAATTTTAATGTGCTGCTAGTGAAAGCACCTTTAACATAAGCGCTTATGAATAAAAAAGCTTCAAACATAAAAATTCTCCAAAGTTCAAGAGTGGTCAGTTGATCCATGAAGGTCGAAAAAAGTGGATGGATAGTGCCTATGATAATCCCTTAATCGACTAGATAGTAACCTAATGCATGTAAACTGGTCGACAATTTGCCTAAGTGAGTATTTGACACAGCATGTGCAAGGTTTTAACCTGGCCAAAAAACATAAAAACCTTTTTTTTTCCCATTGTCTTAGTTCATAGTTTACGCCAAAAAGTCTTAAATAAATACAAGCATGCAATCCCATGCGCATTGACCATTTAGCCACCAATTTTCGAATCACAAAATATCTGCAAAAAGAGTAAAAAGACTAAAATATTTTTAGAGAGAGAAGAAAAAATCATGTCCTTTTTGTGTGACATTTGAGAATATTTTTGTTCATTATTCTATTTATTACAGTTAAATGGATTTGATTTAGAGACATGTGTAGTGAATAAATACAAATTTTAAAATTTTTACACATCCATTAATGCAAATATAGTGATTAGCATTACTATTATTTAAGAATGGTGAACAAAAATGCTCCCGTGGAATGCCAACCGGATTGGACTTATGGGTCAAATCAAAGATGAAGTGTACAGTTTTGTATTTTTAAAGTAACGATAATTAATTGAAATAAATAAGGCCAATAACTTAGAAATGGACTCTATTGGATGGAATTAACCCATTTATCCATAATTCTATATAACCATATATATTTTGCAATCGCATAATTATTTTTATTTATGTTCATTTATGCGAGTTCCGTTCTTCAAGACTTTATGATCTAAGAAAATTTTGGTCACGTACCGTTTTAAGTTAATTTAACAATACAAGAGAAAGCACAACAATAAAAGCTATAAACAACTACATACCATTAAATTAAAATCGAACAATGTAATGTATAACCACACATTTACCTGGTCATGTAATCTACGATCACTACACATGTATGTATACGTATACATACACACACATATATATATGTGTGTGTGTGTGTACGTGGAATCCAAAAGCTGATAAGAGAGATGTTGCAGTTTTGTGTTGCGAGTCAACCCGTAACATGCCGCAAGAGAGAATATGCCTTGGCAGCTGAGCATCCTCATCGAAATCCAATAAATTATTAACCACCTGAAATCATGTTGTCATTTTCATTTCTTAATTACACAAATATATGCTTGACCAAAAAAATATTATTAAAAAAACATATGTTTTGAAAAATCAATTTGATACAACACGAGCATATGTGTGGGTTACACTATTTCACTATAAATCTACGGACAAGGAGATTTGGGTCGTTCAATACAGAGGGAAAGAGATGGGTTTTGTGAGATAAATTAGTGAAATTGACTAATAGGGATGTAAGATTGAAATTGTATGGTCTAGATCTATCTGTTCGTGGGCTCGGGATATAGAAATTTGGAGTAGATTCAATCCATTTCACCAGGACAATGTGAATGTTTCCTTATTCTCATATTTGAATTCGCTCCCTGTAAATCAACACATAATTGAATGAAAAAAATATAAATATAAGTCATGAATGATTCATGTAAGAACATAAGAAAAAAGGTTTAAGTTGAAACTTGAGACAACATCTATAGGAACAAAATGAATGAGTCTCCAAGTGGAAAATTACTGAACAAGCAAAATAAATGTTTTTAACTAATTGAGCGACGCTCTCATTCCAACACTATTAATTGTAAATGACTGTATCAATCATTAAGAATCTGAATTATTTTTTGTATTTATAACACGTGATATACAAGATGGGTAGAGTAATAATAGCAACGAGATTTTATATTCTTGCC